TTTTAAATATTTTTTTTTATAAATAAGTTTTAAAAATTTAATATATTATACTATAAAGATATAGGTATTGTTTATAAATTTGCCTAAAAAAGAAAATTTTCATCAAAATAGATTCTTTTTACATAATTTTATAGATATACAGTATATATCCTATTGAAAATGTTAAAAATAAAGAGCAAATCAAGTATTACTTACAAATTTAACAAATCTTATTTGATTCCTTAGATTTCTTATTGAATATTGAACTATATATACTCATATTAAAAGAAATTATTTCAAATTCTATTTTTTATTTTTTGAGAAGAATCTTTTCTTTTTACAATTCAACTGATATTTTAGTTTATACTATTAATCTTCTTATATTTTCATTTTATGATCAAATATAAATTCTAAAATATGTTAAAAAAAAAGACTTAAGGTATTTATATCAAAATGAAGAAAGAATGTGATAGATACTAAGTTTCTAATATTTTACATTATACTTCTAAGGTTACTAATTCTTAAAAAATTTAGATCATCTCAACTTTAAAATTAGTTTATTTTATTTAGACTTTTTAACAGATATTGATAATATTATTTGAATTTTTTATTAAAGATAAATCATTAGATATAAATAGAATTTTATTGGAGATAAGTTCTGGTGATTAGTTAATTCAAATAAGTAAAATAAAATCATAAGAAATAATTATAATTTTTGTTTTTTGATTTTACTTTTATTTTTTTAATATTTATATAATTTCAACTTAAAATCTAATAAATCTTGCAATAGTATTATATTGTTAAAAAAAATGGAAAAAGTGGATGTGTGATACAGGATGATAAATATTATTCATATAATTTCATAATATTTTATATCTTATTCAGTATCAAATTCTGATGATTAGTCAATCTAAATGGATGAAATAAATTATAAGAAATAATTGTAATTTTTGTTTTTAGGTTTTACTTTTATTTTTTAATATTTGTATAATTTCAACTTAAAATCTAATAAAGCTTGTAACAGTATTACATTGTTAAAAAAAATTGAAAAAGTGAATGCATGATATAGAATGATAAATATTATTTATGTGATTTCATGACATTTTAAATCTTACTAGTATTACTAACAAATTTTTCATCATCATGTGATTATAGAAATATTTATCACCTCATATTACACCCTCCATATTTTCTATTTTCATAAGTATTCTAGGAACAAAGAATTTTTTGGGATGCAAAATCATATTTAACACTTGACGAACACAATGTTATCCATAAAAAATGGTAGTCAGATTTTATTTGCCAGGTATTTATTATTAGGTTTAGTATTAAAGTTAGGGTTTGGATTAGAATTAGGTTTAAAGTAGAATTAGGATTAGTTTAAGGGGTTAGCAAATTTGTCACATTGCGTCACATCCCAGCCGTTCTTCAATTTACTAAAGTATTCTGGGGACTTGGAAATTATTTTGAGAGAAAAAAAATGCTAATTGTCACAATTATATGTCACCCCAATAAGTATATGTGACCCGGCAAATAAAATCCGGCTACCATTTTTTACGGGCGACGCTAGGGCTGTTTTTGACACCTTTATTCGTCACATGGTTAATTTCTTAATGCCGTAATGCCGGCCAAACGTCACGTGGAGTGGAAAACCTGTTGGTAATACTGGGGTAAATACATTGCAGCAGGGGAATCCTGCAGAGAATTTCACAAAATTTATTTTTACTAAATCAAAAATCTCAAAAATAGTATGATTAATTATAATTGTTATTTTATTTTAATTATTATTTCGTTTTATTTGTTATTTTCTCTGTATTCATAATATTGTAAAAAAAACCTCAAAAGTCCGAATTTTATTGAGAAAAGAATGGTAGACGAAAGAGACTTTCGAAATTTTATAATTAAATAAAACTTCTATCCTTACAACATTTTCAAACCTTCGTGTCTTCATGATGAATTGACTGTAATAATCAACTGCACAAGAGAATCGTATTAATAACGTTGCATAAATCTTTCTTAGAACGGCCATTAGTTAGATTTAAATCCTTGCTGGGCTGGTTAATCTGTTTCGGTTCAATGGGATGATAATGTTGTATTTATATGATTTAAATTCGGTATTTATTCACATTGTATTTGCGAGATAATACTTGATCAAAATTAATTCACATGCATGAATTACGGTACGGTATGCTTGACATATAATATTGACCTCAAATTTATGTTAAAGTTTCTCATCAATGAAATTTAAAATAAATTTTCATGATCCCCGGCAAAATATGACCTCATTTTTATACGTATAAATAATGTAAGGTCTGCAATAAAGTACTACAATGCTGAAGTTACATTTACATAAAATAACATTTTAAAGTCGAAATATGTTTATCATAGTGATATAAAAAAAATAATAATAAATGAAGAACAAAAAAAAGAAATATCTTTAATATTAAAACTTAGTTAAGCAAATTATGGATTTTCAAAAACCTAGATCTTCCCGTTTCTTGTTCAATGAGGTTACTATTAGAATTGCTGATTGCGCTATTGTAGATAAAAAGTTCTTTGCATTAGCATTTGAGGCATTGAAGCGGAAAGAGAAGAATCATATAATGTACGACTCCTTTCTCCATTTTCTTGATATGATATTGGATATTCACCTTAAATTAGAAATTTGTTGTTGCGTCATCATACGATATATGCGTGAGAAATTCGTTGGTATCAACCATAATTCGGGAATGCTTGTTGGGATCCAAATGCCCTCTCGTGACATAATATATACGTTGTTAATCAATATTGCTAACCTATATTCAGTAATAAGAATATATTCTGCCATTTTTTTTTTATCTACGAAGATCTTCTTGATGGGATGGAAAAGATGAAATGAACGAATTTGATTTTTTTTTTTTAAAAAAAATCTTCCAAATGAATTTCATTTTTATACATGAATCATGTAATACGAATATGATGAATAAAATAATACATACATGACATGTATCACATTCCACAGCTCCTTTGGATATATTCATATAAATGAGTTGCATTGTTCATAAATTCAAAACGTTTCAAATTGGAAAAGGAATTTCTAGGTTTGGTCTATATTTTTTGGTTGGGCATCCAACTTGGACGATAAAAGAATAAAAAACAAAGTACCCGAGAATGTGGAAGATTAAAAAAATAATTATAAGCACTTATCGTCAAATGGAAATTAATGAAGTTCTTTAAATAAATGAACCATTTAATGCAGGCTGTTCGGTATCAAAAAGTAAATAAAAATAAAAAAGAAAATATTAAAACTTAATTTATCCTTATTCAGGTTTTTAACCAAGAATAAAAACGCGCCAATTTATGTTTATGTTACAAGGCGAAAAACCAAATTTTAAATGACAGAAATACTAAAATTAGTGTGATAAGAATCGGTATCACGAATTTTAACCGTGAATAAATCCTCCGTTTAAAACAATACTCGAGAATTTATGATTGATCAGCTTTGAACTGAACCCACCCGAACCAGTAAAAAGTATTTTCTTAAGAAAAAAAGAAAATTTTTTAAACGAATAAAATAATACATCAAGTATATGGAACTTTATTAAACAAAGAATACGTAGTTTATCAGAATCCACTCTAACAAAATTCGCCTGTTGTTTTTATTAAAAGAAAATGTTTCGTGAAAATTTGATATCATAATACAATGGTCAAACTCGAACAACCAATCAAATCATAATAAAATGGAAATAAATAAGGTTTTAAAAAAAGTAAATCATCGAAAATAAACAAATGTACAGATTAATTGAATGAAAACAAAAAAGGAAAATTAAACAAGGAATATGATATGCAAGTCTTTGTTTTTGACGTTACATCTAATAAATCTTATAAGACAAAATAATACAATAATTATAACATTTTACATCATACAGTGATTTCTAAATTTATGAAATATGCTTCAAATATTAAAAAATAAATAAAAATTAATAAAAAAAAATAAAAAACGTCGTCGATCATATAAATTTAAATTTTTTCGTACCACAATAATTCTTAAACGCTATAGGCTCTTTTCAAAAATACTAATAAATTTGTAATGTATAATTACGGTAACTTAACGTTCCAGTACTACAAATTTAGATAAAAATTAAAAAATGGCTGATGTGGCTAGTAAAATTAAAATTCGAAAAATTTTCCGGTATTTATTAACTATTATTGTTGATCATTCAGTTAATAATTATGAAATCGCGATTATTATTTTTTGAAATCGAAAAAGAATTTCCTGAGTATCCATTATTGATGCCTTTTGAATGTTACCATCCACAAACATAATAGAAGAAATTTTTTAATTTTATCTTGTAAAGTTTGAAAATGAGTGACAATAATTCAAACACTATTCAGCCATCTAATGCGAATTATTACAAGCCAACTTGTACTATCAAGTGAATAATAAAAACTGAATGATGAAGAAATTATCAATGATGGATTTATTGATTAAGAAATAATTGAAGAAACGATTGATGAGAGCGAACTTGAGGACTCAAGTTATGCTACTGAATTCTGATCACATTCTGATACTAATAACTCCTGATATACTAGCTGTAAATTGAAAATCATATAAAACTAATAAAACAAAATACTGTGCAAGTGCAGTCATTAAATTTGGAAGAAACAAATCAGGAAACAAGTAAAATCTAAGTTTTTTAGCCTTAAAACAAAACATACTAATAAAAGAAAGAAGTATATTGTATTTTAATTATTAATTATAATTTATTTTATTTTAAATATATAATCTTTGATGAATTTAAAAAAAATAAAAAACATTCATTAATTGTGAAAAAATTGTTAAATCAAAAGAATTTACATAAATTGATTGAATAAAAAAATTTGATAAAAAGATCGAAGAGAAGACAAAAAAGAGAAAGCAAATGAAATTAAAATAAAGCAAAAAAATTAAATTATGAAAATTAAAAATAAAGATAAGAATTCAAATAATATAAATTATGAATTATAAAAATTGAACTAAAATATAAGTTTAAAATATAGATATTAAAAATAATAATGATAAAATAATTAAAAAATGTTTAAAAATTTTATATTATAATTTTCAGTAATATAAAAAAAGATTTATATTTAATTTAACAGATTTTTTTTTTTGAAGTTTTAATAATATATAGTATAATTTCTTTTTTCTTTATTATTTACAGAAACTTTGTTTCCTTATTATGCAGTAATTGTATAATACCTAATTAATACTAAATAAAGTAATAATTATATATTATTATATAGTTACTTTACAGTTATTACATATTAAAAAAATCAAGTTTTTGCAAAATAAATACAAAATATTATTTATTTTAAATAGTTTAAATTAAAATAGTTTAAATTAAAAGTTAAACCATTAATATTTGTTATGTTAAAGAAATATTAATAATAAATAAATTTTAAATATTTTTTTTTATAAATAAGTTTTAAAAATTTAATATATTATACTATAAAGATATAGGTATTGTTTATAATATATATATATTTATTAAGAAATTAAATATATAAGATCTTATTAAAAACTTGCATATATTAAATATAAGTAATTATAATAATAACTCATTAATATTAAAAATTTATATATTATAGAGAATAAATTATATTAATGTAATAAAAAAATTATTAACCAGTTTTTTAAATTAAATAGTTATAAGAATTATAATTTATCTATAATACTAAAATTACAAATTTAACAATAATATTTTTTATCTTTTTTGCTATTATTTTCTATTAATTTTTAAATGAATGTAATAATTATTATTATTATAGTAATATAGTATATAAATTAAATTAATAAATTACTATTATCATTATAATAAGATAGTATTAATCTATTATAAATATTTATTAATACAGATTTTTTATTCTTATTAAAACTCAATTTAAAAATTATATTATAAGTAATTATTATTAAAAACTTAATATTTAAATCTAAAGTATTAATAATAATGAATGAAAAAAATAAAATTATGATATACAGTTAGACCTCTATATAATTATATCCTATATTTATTTTTACCATTAATGTGCGATAGTTAGAGAGTTAGTAGAAGGCATATCTTAAGTAAAACAAGTGTTATTTTACATTAAGTAACTTCTTTAAATCTCTGATCCCATTTAAGAAGTATGGTAATCTGCCTAGAAGCACATTCTGTACAGTTACTACCTAGTATAGACTATCTTGCAATGAGTTATCCCTATGTTACAAAGCTTATTAGACCTTATTGGGTACTATTACCTTTGAATAGAGGGCTCACTTCAACCATAGAGCTTATCAGGTCCTATTATTACTAATCTAATTTATAGAGTTTTATCCTATTAATGACTATCGAGACCATAGGATCAGATCCTTTATATAGATGATGATTTTGTATCTATAGTGTAAAATTCACCTAGAAATCGAACTCAGCCTCTAATTCTAGTGATAATTTGATTTGGAAGGTACTGCGATATGCAATGCAATCTATTATTACCTTAGACACTTTCACTCTCTTGCAGTGAATCTAAATCTATTAATTACTGGTTAATCACTTTCTTATTTGTATAAGAGCCCTGAATTTGAAGATGTGAGACAGTATCCATTATAGACCTATTAGCGAATGCTAGGTTTCTATTGATTCTAGCTTCATTTATATTTACATGTTCTTCAAATCCAGTATTTAGGCATGACTAATATCAGTTAATAGATCGATCAATCAATATCTAATGTTTATTAGTCAAAACACTCACGTGTTCAGTTACATATGAAATTCTTATAAAAATTATCTAATTTTATGCCTCAGCTGAGGTCTAAACTTGTGACTATTGCAGTGTAACTTATAATAAGATTCGTATTTTATAGATTAAGCTAGGATCACTAATACCTATCCCTTAAACTGTAGAGTAAGCAAATTTGCCTGTAAACATAAAAAAAAAGTATTAATTTTTTAATAAAAAATAAAATATTAATGTTAATAATATAATTATTATATAAAAAATATAGTTTAATATATATTTTATCAACTTTATTAGAAGAAATTTAAGTTTATTAAGAAGTTTTTTAAATAATTCAATTTTTATAATTAAGTTTTGAAAAATTTATTATAATAATTTTTTAAAAATTTTCTTAAAATTCATATATTTATGAATTAATTGAATCACTTTACTATTAATATAAATCATAAAATTCTTAGTAAATTATAAAAACTGTAATAATTAAAGTTATTCTTCATAATAAATTTTATAATATTCTATTATTATTAATATTGTTAATATTAAATGTTAATAAGTTGGTCAAATTTTTAGTTTATAAGTATCCTTTAAATTATTTATTATATAATTAAAAATAAAATTTACTATAATATTATATATATTTATAAAATTAATTTTAAAAAAAAAAAATTTTAAAAATTTTAATTTTTCATAAAAGTAAATCAGAAGAAAATTTATAATAAATAAGCAGGCAAATTTACCTGTGAATCTCTACAGTTTAAGAAGTAATATTAAATAATTATAATTATAGAAATATTCATTCTTCTTTATGTTCTGCAACTTGCATTATTTCAAGTAATAGATTCATTTACTTTACAACTTCACTTTAAATCAAGATAATTTAATGTAATTATCATTTAAAATGTAATAGAATTTTTTCTTATTTGGATCAATAAATGTTTGATTAATAATTAAATTAAGAAAAGTATAAGATAGATCATTAGAATTAACAAGTTTGTTTAATTTTATATAATACTCCTGTGTAATTTTAATACTCTTAAATTTTCATTCTTCTTTCTTCTTTTTATATAATTTACTAATTTTCTATTTTAAGTTTAA